ATAAAATAATTAATTTAATAATTATCTAATAATTTAATAAAATTAACAATTTTTTGATTCGGTTTAAAAAGATTTCTGCAAATTGATACAAATTAGAAATTTTCATTATAGAAGAAAATTATAATAGTGGTAATTTCTTTTATGGAAAATATATGAAAAGATGATTTTATAGATTTTTGGGTCATTGACATTGATGAAAAAAAAAAAAAATAAAACATCACGATGATACATTTTTGATGGAAGGAGGAAGTGATTTTTTTTTCGATTTCTCATTCCTTACAGATAAATATATACCCTTTCATTGATCTCACTTCCGGAAGCTATATGTATATGATTCGATTGTCGAGTCACGAATTTCCTAAGATTGATATTGAAGATATATATTTTAAAAAACGGAAGTGTTTAACCTGTTACAATTTACTATCACATTCTTAAATCATTTATATATTGAAACGATGCTTCTTAAACGATGACGTTGGCATTTCATTAATGATCATCACGAGACAAAAAAAAAAAAAAACTAGTTTATTAATATCACTCATCATTTATAATTGAAATAATGACGATATTTATTGGAAAATTGATCTGTTTCGATCAGATTCGGATATAAATTAATTTTATTTAGAAACTTCCGGTTCTCGTTAATCGATATTGTTAGAAAATTATTTGATAGCCTAAAAATTTTTTCATTTTCAAACGAAAAAAATTGAAAATTATTTTTGGAAATCGTTAATTTTTCTTGCCTTTTTTTTGTTTGTTTGCAAAATTTGCAGTGAGATGCACGTATAAATATAAAAACCAGGAAGTGTACATTCAAGTAAAGAATATGAAACGTGAATTAGTCATAGTTTGGAAAATCCCGGAAATATGCAATTTTTCACATGAACTGCATTCCCCTTATATTTTTGCATTTATTAATTTAAAATCGTATAGGATTTTCAGTACATATATAATAATCATCTTATTATTGCATAATTTGTTTACTTTAAAATTTGTTTCTTTCAAAAAAATGACAATTTTTTTCTCAATGCTCATAGAGAGCATAATTTTTTTTTGATGTGACATTTCTGACATTATCTTTTTGAATGTCAAGATCATAAGGAAGTAGCACCCACTTGCAGATTCTTTTCTTTAAAAAAAAAAACCACTTCTTAGAATGGCAAAATGTGCTTTTGTCAATCGTTAAGAATTCGCAGCCTAATCAAATATAGAGCTGAATCTATTCTTCCATTCACTAATCGCTTTTTTATTGCGAAATATTTTTTATTCGACTCCTCTAAAGATCAATTTTTATATTTTAATTAATAATTAATTTAATTATACCCATTTCTCTTAATAATTAACAATTACGAAAAAAATAGGGAAAAAAACAAATAATACAAATTATAATTATTAATAATAATAAATTATTTAATTCAAAGCTATAGATATAAAAAGAATAACTAGGAAAAAAAAAATTGGTAAATATATTATTTTTGATTTGAAACCGCGCGTTAGTGAAATTATATTTATTTGCTTTCCCTGTATGGAATGTTATACGAGGAGGTAACGCTTTGCGATTAGTATTTACGTCGACCTCTGAGAGAGAGAGAGGGAGAGAGAGAGATCAGTCTTGTAGATTAGAAGAATGAGCCGCGGGTACCAATAATAATAAAAAGAATCCGCAAAAGCACAGCTGCGGGGGCAGGTTTAGAGTTTAGACCTGCGTTACCATCTATACAGTTCCTTTCAAGCGTGCCAAGCAGATGCGTTGGAATTTTCATCAATGGAGCTCGTATATACCGCATATATACGTATATAGGCACGAGTTCAAATTCGATATGATTGAAAATAAAATAGATCCATTTCTATATTGATCCTTGATTCTATGATCCTTGAAGAAGAAGAAGAGAAAAAAAAAAAACATGAGCTGCGTTAAACTTGCACTCCAATCATATATTAATAATTTCCTTCTTTTTGAATGAAAATTACTTAAAATACTTATAATAATATATAAAGAATAATAATTCAATATATCAATAAATAAATACTTCGTCTTAAATATAAACTGTTTTATGAATGTAAATATTTAATTCTATTATTTTCATTCTGTTTGAATGGAAATCAATGCTATTAATATAATATATTTATTTAATGCAAATCGATAGCAAATATTAAAACATTTTATAATCCTTATGTATTATTATGTAGCTGCAATATTATCTCTAAAAGCAATTGTAAAAATAGATCCAAAGTATCTGTAAAAGTAGACTAAAGCACCTTTAAAAGTAGGTCGAAAAGTAGATTCAAATTACTTCTATTAGCTTTAAAAATACCTGTAAATGTAGATTCGAAGTACCTATAAAAGTGGCTCTAAAAGTAGTTCCAAAAGTCTAAAAGTATTTGTAAAAGTAGATCCGAAGTACCTCTAAAAATAGTAAAAATAAACCCAAATTATCACTGAAAGTATAGCTCTAAAAGTACCTCGAAAATTAGCTCTAGCAGTAGATCTATATGGTACCTCTGAAAAAAGTTCCAAAAGTGCACTTAAAATTAAATTCAAAAATACCTCTAAAAGCATCTGTAAATGTGGATTTAAAGTACCTTTAAAAAAAGACCAAAGTACCTCTAAAAGTAGTTCTAAAAATAAAACGAAGTATCTTTGAAAGTAGCTCCAAAAGTACCTCGAAAAGTAGATCCAAAGTTGCTTTAAAAGAAGACCAAAGTACCTCTAAAAGTAGTTCTAAAAATAAAACGAAGTATCTTTGAAAGTAGCTCCAAAAGTACCTCGAAGTAAAAGTACCTTTAAATGCAGATCCAAAGTATCTACAAAAATCTCTATAAAAATAGTTCCAAAAGTACCTCTATAAAAGTAGGCGCAAAATTACCTCCATCCAAAGTACCTGTAAAAATTGCTCTAAAAGTAGTTCCAAAAGTCCCTAAAAGTATTTGTAAAAGTAGATCCGAAGTACCTCTAAAAATAGTAAAAATAAACCCAAATTATCTCTGAAAGTAGCTCTAAAAGTACCTCGAAAATTATCTCTAAAAGTAGATCTATATGGTACCGCTGAAAGTAGTTTCAAAAGTGCATCTAAAATTAGTTCCAAAAAGTACTTTAAAAAGCAGCCGCAAATGTAGATTCGAAGTACCTTTAAAAGAAGACCAAAGTATCTGTAAAAGTACTTCAAAGTACCTCTAAATGTAGTTCTAAAATTAAACCAAAGCATCTTTTGAAAGTAGCTCCAAAAGTACCTCGAAAATTAGATTCAAAGTACCTCTAAATACAAATCCAAACTAAATGGCTCTAAAAGTAGTTCCAACCTCTAAAAGTAAAAATTCTCCAATTTTACATAAATTTTCCAAAACTATCCATGACCTATCAAAAGATTAAATCATTCTAATCTTTACAAGAAGTTATAAGCTTCTGTCGCGAGGGTGTAAAGCAAGAGAGAAAAAGAGAGAAAGAGAGAGTTTATCAGAATTCACCTGCAAGATGATCTGCGACCTCATAGAGAATGAAGAAGGTTCCAATGAGTCAGTGATTGTGTGTTTGCGGATTCAACTCAAGTGGGAGGGTAGGGATTGAAAGGTATATATATATATATATAGTGATTCTGGTGGGGTTTTGTGGCTCTTAAGCGGGGAGTTATGAATGAGTCTCCTTCGTTCTCTTCGCAGTAGGTGGGAGTTGTCAAACAGTTTAGAGTAGGGGAAAAACAGGGAAGAGGTGAGCAACCAAGCAATATACAGAGGGGCGGACAATGGTAGAGGGGGAAGGAGAAGGTTTAAGGATCGAGGTTCCAAAGAAAAGCGGGGTGAGGGCCACGTGCTTATTTGATGTGCCTTTTACAAACCTCCCCCACCAGACATTCGCTAGTATCATACTTACGGTTGTTCATTCCGGCTGCAACGGGACACTCATATGCATCGCTCTTCTACATTATATGAAAAAAAAAGGAAAAAGAAGAGATGTGCAACTAAAGCAAAAAACAGGCAGAAGGAGAATTTCAAAATTTCCTTCTTTGGAAGAGGTGAAGAAATGTTGGAGGAAGAAGGTGAAGTCTTGAGAAGTACTAAAGAAGAAATCCATAAGGAGCAATCCGTAAGGAAGGAATCCTTAGGGAGAAATCCGTAAGAAAGGAATCGTTAAGAAGTAATCCGTAGGAAATCCGTAAGGAAGGAATCCTTAAGGAGTAATCCGTAGGAAATCCGTAAGGAAGAAATCCTTAAGGAGTAATCGGTAAGAAATCCGTAAGGAAGGAATCCTTAAGGAGTAATCCTTAGGGAAAAATCCGTAAAGAAGGAAACCTTAAGGAAGGGTTTCCTTAAAGAAGAGATTCCCAAAGGAATGATATAAGTGCAATCATCCCTAAAGAAGAGTGCGATACAAAATGGGATTTTGACGAGAAGAAGAAGAAGTGGAGACGGAAGAGATGAAAGAAGCAAGGGAGAGGGCCTAAGGCGAGACCTATCGGTATATATAGTCACAAGTCCATCTTTCCACCTCCATAATACCTTTCGCAGGTTCACTCCTACTAACGAACAAACAGCTTGAATGCCTTGTTCACCTGACTGGCTTCCTCCTGCCCAGTGCATATACCTAACCTATCTATCTACGTTGTGTCTACAACTCGAGGTGATACTTGAATCTCCAGGAGACACGAGACTACTCAGTCACCTCTTGACACTCGGCCCGACACGTTCTGCTTCTCTCTCTCTCTCTCTCTTAATTCTCAAAGCACCCCTAATTGGTCCAACCCCCCTTTAGGTTTTTGATACCTGTTTTAATCTTGTATACACTCGTTGCCTCCACCTCCTTTGAACACCTTCTCGCCCCCTCTTCCCTCTTGACCCCACCCCCCCTCGTATAAGAATCAGTGCATCGCGTGTGCCGGGACCAGTGCCAAACGGATTGTGATTCTGTTAAGAAGAATAAATTTAATTTTTTTTTGTTGTTGTGCATATTGGATTTAATTTGCAAATATATTTTTTTTATACACACATGTAACCATTTTACCTTGTTAAATAATCGCATGATGACGCGATCGTGTGTGCGGGATGATCGTGAGGCGCGAAAGCATAACTCAATGCATGTACTTGAGAAAAGCGAACCAGTGATAAAGTGCAATGATGATGATGATGCGATTATTATCGAGAGATGTGATTATCATCATCATCATTATCATGAAACAATGATGAAAACAACAACGACAATGGATGCTATATTGAATCGTGATCAAAGGACTACGATGCATAGGGTCTTCGACCGTAGTATTGAGCCTGATACCGTGTTGTCATTGACGGCATTAACCGCGAATAAATCAACAACACGATGTAGGCCCGATATTACTAGAGTCAATTTTCATGTGCCAAATACAAGAACATGGGATAATGACAGAACTTATTCAAAAGTGTCTAGTGCTGTTGATAATAATGACGATGATCAATTTCTTGTTACTCGTTCTAGATACAATCGTAGGATACCATCAACAAGATTTAACACCACTGTATTTCCATTGCTCAGTAAGTTTATGAAATAATTTTCATGATCTTCTTATTCCAAAATTATATTTTTTTATACAAATCTGTATTGATTTGGATTTTCAACCTTTTTTCAAGTTCAAAAATGTTCGCAGCAATTTTTAACTGGGATTTAATTAACTAATCTTAAGCTAATCCTTTTGAAGAAGGTTTTTTTTATCTTCCATTGAAAAATTTTCATTGAGAGCATATTTTTATATGAATTCTAGTATAATAAGCTAGATTTTATCTCTTATAAAATTTTTGTCTTAATCTTTTATTAGAAAAAATATTTTTTATATCTTCAGTTTTATTGTTTAGAATTTTGCTTCTAATTTTCAATAAAAGTTATATCTATTAAGCAAAGTTATCAGTTATTGCACCGTTTTTGAACCTCCTTTCTTTTTATATTATAAAGATTAATATATACCGTCTTTTGGCGATCGGATGCCGCAGCGGAAATTAGTTGGCGGGCTTTTTAACGGCCGGAAAAGCAGGACTCGTGCTTCGATTAATTTATCTCATCAACATTCTCCACCTGTGTTTCGATAGCTCATACCAGTACACATATTTCTCCGAATGTAACATATGGGATTTGACTGATTATTTATAATACGAGTTCATCAAAAAGCCACTTGACTGTTTTTTTTTTCGCTCTTTTTATTTTTTCAATTATATATCATAAAACAGTGATTTCAATTTTTCCTCAACAAAATTTCGTTATTTAAAAGAAATAATTTTTAGCAAATTTTTTATGATAAAAATAATTTAATATTTAAAAACTTCAACTTCAATTGATAATGAAAAATGTAATTTATAAAAAGATTATTATGTCGTTATTTATACGTCTTTTGATATCATTTATATAATATTTGAACCAATAATATTACAAACCTATTGTCGCGTAATAATTTAATTTCCTTTATTTTGATTTATTGTAGCAATAATAGCACGTGTTGAATAATTATAATTTTTTTTTTCTGATAATTATTTTCTTATTGTTTACAATTAAAATATTGTCTTAAAAAAAAATTGTTCATTATGAAAATATCCTATAAATATTGTTCGTTCAAAAAAAAGTGCGAGGATTCCCCAAGTGTGTCGCATAATTGATTTCCTCATATATATATATATATAAAATATAACTTTAGCGAAAAAGAGCTTTTTCTCTCGACGACAACGTGATTTATCCCTTCAGACTCACACGAGATCTATATGTAATATGATGTCATTGTCGTGCGAGCCAAGAAACATTTCTTAGTCATCCTTTTAGTAACGGTTCAATATTTTCTATTACATTTTCCATCTACCACGTGCTCATCTCGATTGCATGTAAATGGAAAATTCTTTTGAATAAAAAATAAATAGATACAAGTAAATATAAATAAATAAATAAAAATAAATGTAAATAAATAAATATAAATAATTATAAATATAAATAAAAATAATTAAAAATAAATACACGCAAAAAAATCTTTACCTGAAACAGCGATAAGTTTCTCTGGAATAGCGATATATTTCTCTGGAATAGCGAAAACTTTTTCTATTTTAGTGAAATATATCGCTGATCTAGCCCGTGTAGAAATTGCCCTACCAGGGCCCTAGTAGGGAATGAAACGCCACACCTGATCAGGGCCAAATGTGGATTTCCTAATCACCCACTTGGAAAGATTCCCCGGAAAGTGCCCCCTGGAGGTTCTATCAGAATTCCGCCGGAACTTCCAACGTAATTCCGTCGGAATTCCAAAGAATTTCCGATGGGATTCCGACGGAGTTCCGACTGAATTCCGATTAATTTTTTTTCAAAATTTTTAGAGTCCTAATTCCGTCGGAATCCCATTGGAAATTCTTTGGAACTCCGATGGAATTCCGACGGAATTATACATTGGAAGTTCCGGCGGAATTCTGATAGAACCTCCAGGGGGCATTTTCCGGGGAATCTTTCCAAGTGGGCAGGGCCACATCAGGCGCGGCGTTTCATTCCTTAATAGGGCAGCCTGATCTGGCCCCGATCTGAGCCCTGGCAAAATTTCTGCACGGAAAGTGAAGGTTTTTTTTTGTGTGTACAAGTACTAAAAAAATGCCAAATTAAAGAATTGTTCTTTTTTTGCAATACAATGGAGCTTTAATGAAAAGAAAAAAAAAATTCATATGGTAGAAATTATTAAATATACCTATATATAGGAGTCGTTGTTTTACCTGTTGAGTACAATCTAACAAGTGGTTCTGAATGCTTCAACCGAGCAGAAAGTCACTCAAACACTCCTTGTAAATATATATATATATATCTTTCTGTTAAATCAATTTCTGTAAAACACTCCAAGATTTGTCATAAAATCATAAAAATATATCTTTAAATGTCAAATATAAATTTCTATTTTAAATTTAAAATAATTAAATAGAAATTAATTAATATTAATTACAATTAATTAATATTATTACAAATTAAATATATTAAAAATATTAAATATATATATATATATATATATATATATATATATATATATATGTATTAATATTAAATATAATTAAAATATAAAGTTTGTAAATTGTCAAGACGTGCGAGAGTATACACACATATACACGACCTACCGCAACGCATTTTGATCTTGAGATCGATGGAGGGAGTTACAAAACGTGTGATGGCAAAGAGAGTATATATATATATATATATAGCGGTTTGTCGGGGTGAGAGGATATAATATAACTCGGGACTGTTTGCAAAGAAGGGGAATATAATGGGGTATAATTGTCGCAAAGCAATGCGAGGACAGTGCACCATTATTGCATTTTTCTTACTGTTTCTTGTCTTCGTAACACGAGATGCAACTCGCACACACACCATATCTTCGTTATTTCTTTTCGCGCCCGCGCAACTTCTTTTTTTTTATTTTGCCCTTTTTTTGCCATAACTTTATATGCCCCCCCCCCTAAGGGTTCTCAAGAATTTCACTGGAACGTTTCACGATCTTCACAGTCCTTTGCGCTTGTTTTGACTCTCTAGAGTATTGAGGTAGTCCCGCGTGATTCTTCCGCAATTTTTATTATAAACTCATCCTTATGCGTTTTTCGTGGTGAATTAAAAAAAAGAAAATAAATTATTGAGAATTTTTTTTTTTTAAATCTATATTTTTGAAATTTGCGTGCTATATAAGATTGCGTATGAAACGAAAGGGCTTTTTAAAAGGCCTCCTCTTTAACATGCGTTAAGTATACGATGCTCCTTGGGATTTTTTTTTTTTTGCTTCTTTGAGAAGAGTGTGCCGTGCGCGTCCGTCCTGTGCGGTGATCCACGTGCTTATGTTAAAATTTTCAACACCTCGAACGCATGGCGCCACCCACTTTAGCCACTTACGAGAATAAAGTTATTTCCTCTTTCTCTCTCTCTTTTTCTCTTCACCTTTTTCTTTTGTCTCTTTTTAATTTCCTCTGAATTGAAAATTAAAATTTTTCTTTAAATATAATATTATATCCGTGTAGAAATTTTGCCAGGGCCCAGATAGGGGCCGGATCAGGCTACCCTATTAGGCAATAGGCCCTACTAGGGCCCTGATAGGTCAATTTCTACACGAGTATAACTTTTTTTTGAAAAACCAATTTTTTATTTGTAAAATTAATTTTCAAAAATCGCACCAGGATTCGAACCCTCAACGTTCGGTATAAGGCAAGTCGAGCACACTAACCACTAGACTAGGAATCTTTTTCAATTGCCAAAATACGCTGAATGAAATAAAGTACAGTTATATTTTTTTGCCCCTTATTTCGAATTATCTTATTTCGAAAATTATAATTGAAGATAAATTCTGTATCATTTTGCCAAGTACGATATATGAAAGTTCATTTGAAAAAAGAAAACATCGAAGTAAAAATAAAGAGCATATTTATATATATATATAAAGAGAGAAAGATGATTAAATACAGAGTAAATTTAAAGTGTATATTCCCCCTATAGGAAGTGCGGTGTATTTTCGTTGTCGCAAGGCCCCTCATCAAGGGTCGTAACTCGTGAAATGATGCGATTCGCAACTTTGGAATTTCAACTGTCAGGATGTAATTCGTGTCCGCGCAAATTTGCCGAATGATCATTATAAGGCGCGCGGTTACCAATCGAAAAAAAAAAATTCTCTATTTTGGCTCTCCGCGCGCACCCTTTCGGAAGCTTTCATTTTTCATCTTATATTTTTGAAGCGAAATTTTTATTTCATATACAAAACAGCTGCAATGATCAATATAATTCATTTTTTTTTCCCCCCATCTTATTTCCAATTGAGTATGTAATTCGTCTTTATGGACGAAAATTTGGTACTTAAAGAAGTGGAAATTTCATATGTACTATGTAGTCAGGTCCAATTATTATTCATCGATTGTATTATTATTTATCATATATATATCGATTTCGATTCAGCAAAACTTTCTCATGCAATTAATTTCTTATTTTCATGTTGTATTTTTTTTTTCATTTCGTTTGATGATGGAAGTTTTTGTTTTTATTGTTGAACGAATTTTTTTTTTTTGATTTTAGTACAAAATATTAATTTACAGGTGAAAAAATGTTTTATTTAGTTAAATAAATTTTTTTTTATTTCTTATTGAAATACAAAACAATGTTTAATATAATAAATTTTGAATTAGTTGGAATATAGGAATTAAGAATTTAGCAACTGAATCACTGAAATTCAGTTATATTTTACTAAAAATTAGTTGAATTTTTTACTGATTGAAACAGTTAAATCTGTTTTTTTATCAATTGATGATAAAGCAGATTTTATTATTCTGTTTTACCGATTGATGATAAAGCAGATTTTACTATTCTGTTTTACCAATTGATCATTATGTAATACCTGTTCTGTATTACCGATTAACGATAATGTAGATTTGATTGTCTAAATCTCATTGATTCAAAAAAGTCAGAAATTGTCGAAATGGAAAAACTTGAACGTTCAAAAACTAGTTTATTTTTCTTTTTTTCTCAAAAACCTCTCTTTTGAAAAAAAAACTATTTGATTTCAATTTTCTTTTCACTTAAAACATTTCTTTTATTGTTGAATTTTTTTCTTTTTCTGCACCTCATTATTTTTCCAATCAAAAACTATTTTATGATTGAAGTTTCATCTTCTTCGATTGAAAATATTTCGTTTCTTTCATATTTGAAAAAATTATCCTTCTTTTATTCAATGTTTAATTTTATTAAAAAAAATATTTTATTTTAAAAATTCTTTTTTAAAAATAATATATATATACTATATTTAAATAGTATTTTATTTTTAAGACAGTATTTTGTTTTTAAAAATAAGTATTTTATTTATTAGTTGCTTTTGAAAGACAGTAGTTCTTTCTAATCAAATTAAGATTAGTTCTGTTTGTTATAGGGCTAGCCAGCCTTCTATTTGCCTTCCTCGTCATATCGGTGAACGGCGCTCCAATGAGCCTTGGGGAGAAAAGGATGACTTCACAGGAAAAGTGGCGGTCACCTTGTGGTGAAGCTGGTCAATCATCTGTAGACTATGAGGGCGATCAGGACGTAGAACAAATAAGTGACAAACAACTTATGGTTCAAATTTCCATGCAAGCAAGAACGGCCCTATTGCATGCCGAACTCTTTTTAGGAACTTATGTAAGTATCCTTTTTGTTTAACAACAATTTTTTTGAAAATATTTAAAAACATTTTTAATATTTTTAAAAATAATTTTTAAATATTTAAAAAAGAAATGATTAATTTTAAAATTATTTCAACTAACAAAGAAAGGGAGAGAAATAATATTAGTAATGAGAAGAGGGAGATCGGATGAACGGAAGAATGGTGCGGTATTTCCGGTGAGACAACTCTCAAAGTAGATAAGATATACAATATGCGTAAAATTATCATAAGCTTATCAAAAATGTGAAATTAAATAATTGCTATTAATACAAATTCAATTTGCTTCCTAGGAAGTATTTTTCTTTTTTTTTTGGTACTATTTCAAAAAATTTCTAATTCTTGCAGACATTTAATGATCGCATATAATAATCATTCATCTTTTTTTTTTCGAAAAAAAAAATAGTTTGCCTGATTATAAGACACGGTGGTGTCGGCGCTTTTGTGTATATATATTCGTGACCCGAGAAACGCTCATAAAGACCAAAAAGTATATATATATATATATAAGAGAGGAGACTCTTTGCGTGCGTGGTCACCGGAAATGGATGAATGTTCTCTTGATGTGTCCTTTCTCTCACTCTTTCAACCTTTTGCAAGTGTGGACACATTCGAACACACGCTTGTTAATCTGACGTATATCTATCAATGCGAGGCCCGCGACGTCCTTACCTGCGCGACTGATAGATCGTTGGAACACCCACGGAATTACTAATTCAATTAAGTTTTGATCTGCCGTCAACTGGAATATAAGCTGGGTCGTGCTTTTTTTTGATATTCATTTGTTTCATTAAATTGACGAATTAGTGAAAATGGCATTTTTTTTTTTTATTTCGAAAAGTATAATCGAATTTTTACTAATTCGAACTTTTTAATAGTCAGGCAAATGAAATTTTTACTAATTCGAACTTTTCAACTGTCAAATAACCGATTATTTGAAAATTCGAACATTTTTTGACAGTCAGAAAATCAAAAATTTGAAAATTCAAACACTTTTAACAGTCAGATAATCGAATATTTGATAATTCGAACTTTTAATCGGACAAAACATCGAATATTTGAAAATTCGAACTTTTTGGCAGTCAGATAATTAAATACTTGAAAATTCGAACTTTTTAACAGTCAAAAAATCGAACATTTGATAATACGAACTTTTTAATAGTCAGATAATCAAATTTTTACTAATTCGAACTTTTTAATGGTCAGGCAAATGGAATTTTTACTTATTCGAACTTTTCAACTGTCAAATAACCGATTATTTGAAGATTCGAACTATTTAACAGTCAGAAATTGAAAATTTGAAAATTCGCACATTTTTTGACAGTCAGAAAATCAAAAATTTTAAAATTCAAACACTTTTAACAGTCAGATAATCGAATATTTGATCATTCGAACTTTTAATCGGACAAAACATCAAATATTTGGAAATTCAAACTTTTTGGCAGTCAGATAATGAAATACTTGAAAATTCGAACTGTTTAACAGTTAAAAAATCGAATATTTGAAAATTCAAACTTTTTAATAGTCAAAAAATCGAAAATTTGAAAATTCTAACTTTTTAACAGTCTGAAAATCGAAAATTTGAAAATTCGAACACTTTTAACAGTCAGATAATCGAATATTTGATAATTCGAACTTTTAATCGGACAAAACATCGAATATTTGAAAATTCGAACTTTTTGGCAGTCAGATAATGAAATACTTGAAAATTCGAACTGTTTAACAGTCAAAAAATCGAATATTTGAAAATTCAAACTTTTTAATAGTCAGAAAATCGAAAATTTGAAAATTCGAACTTTTTAATAGTCAGATAATCGAATTTTTACTAATTCGAACTTTTTAATAGTCAGGCAAATGGAATTTTTACTAATTCGAACGTTTCAACTGTCAAATAACCGATTATTTTAAAATTCGAACTTTTTAACAGTCAGAAAATCGAAAATTTGAAAATTCGAACACTTTTAACAGTCAGATAATCAAATAATTCAAAATTCGTCTTTCTTAATAGTAAAAAAAATCGAATATTTGAAAATTCGAACTTTTTAATATTCGGATAATCCAATTTTTACTAATTCGGACTTTTTAATAGTCAGGCAATAGAATTTTTACTAATTCGAACGTTTCAACTGTCAAATAACCGATTATTTGAAATTTCGAACTTGTTAACAGTCAAAAAATCAAATATTTGAAAATTCAAACTTTTTAATAGTCAGAAAATCAAAAATTTGAAAATTCAAACACTTTTAACAGTCAGAAAATCAAAAATTTGAAAATTCAAACACTTTTAACAGTCAGAAAATCGAAAATTTGAAAATTCAAACACTTTTAACAGTCAAATAATCGAATAATTGAAAATTCGTCTTTCTTAATAGTAAAAAAAATCGAATACTTAAAAATTCGAACTTTTTAATAGTCAGATAGTCGAATTTTTAATAATTCGAACTTGTAAACTGTCAAATAACTGATTATTTGAAAATTCGAACTTTTTAACAGTCAGAAAATCGAAAATTTGAAAATTCGAACATTTTTTGACAGTCAGAAAATCAAAAATTTGAAAATTCGAACACTCTTAACAGTCAGATAATCGAATAAATAAAAATTCGTCCTTCTTAATAGTAAAAGTAATCGAATATTTGAAAATTCGAACTTTTCAAACATTCGAACCTTTTAACAGTTAGATAATCGAATATTTGAAAATCTCCACTTTAGGATATCCGAACTTTTACACATTTCTAATCTGTTAAAATAATAAACATCCTATATTCGAACTTTTTGCGATCAATTTTTTAAGGATTCTAGAAAAAATTACTTTATCCTTTCAAGAAATTTTTTTTTTTTTTTGAAATTATGATATATATCCCTCGTGTTTTCGGAAAGAATAACAGTTATTATTGTTATTATTATCATCTACGTGAATTTGCGAATATAATTCCCCTTGTTCTCATTTTGCAACATGGATCATCGCTTTTCATTTCTTTCATTCTTTTTTTTTTTTTTTTTTTTTTTAAAAAAAAGAAACAATTTTACCGCTTAAAAAAAGTTTTTATGTAAATATTTTGTACAAGAAACATAGATTACATCGTGGGATCATTTGCCTAGATAGGGTAATATGGTTTTTGTGTATATAAGCAAAAGCATTTTGGGTCTAGTCACGCATTAAGCAAAATTTCATCCATATAATTATGATGGAAAAGCATACTCTCACGTAGAATGAGACGTTTTCAGAATATTCAATGATCATTATAGATATCTTTCATTTATGTATATATTTAGTCATTTTGGACCACGTGGAAGTTGACTTTTATCAATTTCAATATCAACAAATGAGTAAAAAAAATAAATTAAAAAAAAAATTTTAATCAAACAATATATATTTTTCATTTTCTGAAAATAATATAATTCTGATATAATCAATCATGCTTTTTATAATTTTATAATTATTATTGTCAAGGACATTCTAACTTCGATCAATAATTAATGTTCAAGGTTCTTATTAAAGTGGACGAGACAGAAAGTGAAACCGCAGATTCAAATATGCGGTTAAAGATGAAATTTTAACTTTTGCCTTTGTTTTTTTTTTGGGGCTATAATAAAGTGTTTCTTTTGTTGTCTCATATTTCAATATATAAAAATAAATCTATTTTTTTAGTAGTATTTTTTGGTTCTCAAATTTTTTTTCATAAAAAGAAAATATTTTTCTTCAAAATAAAATTTTCTGCGTTTTTTTTTTTTTGATCTACTTTTGTAGGGAAGGGGGGGAAGATCTTCACTTTCGCGACGATTTTAATATTGAGGGCAGCATGAAAAAAAGAAGAACATTTATATTTTGTTTCAAGGTTATTATATTATAATTTCCCAAGAGCTCGAAAAAAAAAGATTGAGTGACGCACAACATTCGTAGGAAAGTAAAAATGTCATTCTTTCTCTAAAAAAAAGCAGTTGACATTTTTAACTGTAAATGTACGTGACACTATTTCTTATCAGACAAAACAATATTGAGAATTGTATATATATATATATGAAATTGCCGTGGGATTTTTTTGCACCTTAGAATTTTTTTTAAAACAAATTCTCAAATCCTATTTTAACGAGGCAGCATTCATTGTTTGTTATATCATCATAATGAAGATACTCGAGATGACTGTTTTCTAACTCAGCGGAAATTTGCAAAACTCCCTTTTCGAGTGTATCATTTAATGTATGAGAAAATGGATTTCAGTTGGGAATAGAAAAATTCCACTAAAAAAAAAAAAAAAATCAAACTATAAACCATGATCTTGATGACTCGAGGGTATTTTGAAGTGCAAGCGACACAGGTGTGCGCCGTTGACTGATATTAACTCTTATAAAGGCGACACACTGTCTGCAGGTCCAATGACGTCATCATTTAAGTCTATCGTTTTCGTTCTTGAAACAAAGACAGACTTATTGAAGAGAGAGAGAGAGAGAGAGAGAGAGAGAGAAATTCTGATAAGTTCGAAAAATCTCTCAACAAGAATCTTTGATTATTTTTAATTTTAGAATCACTTCAAAATTGATAAAATCTGCAATGAAAAAAATTTAGTTATTTCAATCTGTTACTTCAATAAACTGTATTTAAATTAATTTCTGCTCTTTAAATCTAAATTAGTAAAAAATTTTAATTCTCACTTTTTTGAATTAGTTAAAATTTTTCTTAGAACTTAGAAAATGTATTTAATATTTTAATTGACAATATTAAGGAAATAAAATTGAAAGTAATTTTGACAAATAAATCCATGATCACATTGAATTGAATGGAATGTATTAACAAGTGTCTGATGCTATTATAAGCAAAGGGCAATCGTAAAATATCGGAAGCGTAGGATTCCAATAAATCAGAATCGGAAGCTGCCCCTCCTTGGCACTTACCAACATTGAAGCATCTCCTGCATAATAAAACGTAGACCGGATACGATTCACGACAGAGTATTAATTCACCTTGATGACTATACATATA